AGTTGCTGAAAAATGTAATGACGCAAAGTGAAACTGATGCTAATTTGGAGGTGAAGCATGAAGAGACTGGAATAAGAGAAACTGTGATCAGTTTTTTATTTTTTAAAGGGTCGTAGTCACACTGGTTGATGCTGTAGCCTGTGCCACTTCTCCTCACAGGTTTCTTTAATCCCTATGTCTACTAGGAAGAGCCTAATTAATATGTGAATACTGTGTTGACCCCCTTATAGGGATCTGGATTTGGTCTCTCTCTGTTTCTCTGCCTTTCTTGTCTCACTTGCAATAAAGGGCCAAATAACATATCATCTATGGATGTGGTTTGTGGCCAGCTGCCCGCAGCGTTGCTGCCCATGCCCGCAGCGATGCTGCCCGCTGTTTCCTCCCAGCCCCGCAGTCCCGCTGCACGGCACGGCTTGTGGGACCCTGCTGTGGATGGGCTTAGGAAGTTGATGTGGGTTTGAAATGCTGTTTTCGGTTCCCTGGGCAGCTTTGTGCTGGTGTGGCCGCAGGAACGGGCCAGCGTGCCGTTGTGCAACCCCAGCCTCCAGCGGAGCGTGGCTGGGAGCTGGGGTGGCTGGTGCCTTACAGCAGGTTTGAAGCACTATGTTTGGAGGTTTCTTTTCAGTTCTTGTGCTCAGCTAAGTGTGGCCATCTGTGCTACTAAGGGCACGTCTGCCTTTTTGCTGCGTGCTAGGAGAAGGGTCCTGTGACGTAGCTGTCGAACCAGAGCCAAAGATCGATTTCCCTCCGGGATGGCTGTTGTTCCTGTGGCCATGCCCCCAGATGCCATTTGTGTGCCTGTTGCCTTGACAGACTCTGCTTCTCGGCCCAGCCAGAGCATCTGTAAAAATGTTTAAAGGACTTCGGATTAATAAATTCTGCTCTAACCTTCTGATGACTCTTTTGTTTCCCACCAAATTCCAGATTCAAATTACAAATTATCCCCTTGTCTCTCTGCTTCGAGCCCTGAAGATCAGCTCAAGGTATCAGAAGATCTTCAGAGACTCCAAGTAAAACCCTGGTAGCTGCCCATCGTAGGATGCCATTAGTGACCCAAGAAGTGGTGTTCAGGGCTGCGGTGGCTGTTTATGGTGGGAGTTCGCACTCGGAGCCATCCCAAACTCTTAATTATCATGTTGCAAAATGACCAAATGGGCTTCAGGAAAGGTTGGCTGCCTCATGGTTATTTGCAGCCTCAGGATGGGGTCTTGCTGGTAAGAAGCAGGAGAGTTGTCTCTCCAGGCCGTGAGTTGAGCAACCTAATTCTCATCGGTGTCACGGAGGGCGGGAGTGTTGCAGAGACCAGTGCAACTGGAAAGGGCAGGGCTGTGTTTCTGCCTGGCTCTCGCCATGGCCGCGCCCATCCAGCTCTGCCACGTAACCTGCCTGCTCCTGTTCTGCAGGGCAGTCGCATTGCTGGCACCAAACGTGGAAGAAGTCCTACTGAAATTCTTAGCTTTTGTTTAAAACAAAAACAACAAAAAAACGGCACCAAACGTGGAAGAAGTCCTACTGAACTTCTTAGCTTTTGTTTAAAACAAAAAAAACCCCCACGTTGCTGCATTACTGCTGCCCTCATTTATTGCAGCACTTATATTCTGGATTGATTATTTATGCTGAGTGTTGCAGGCTGGCTCCTTCTGCTGGAAAGAATTCAATTTTGAGTGTGACCGTGTTGTCTTTAGTAGCAGGTGAACCGTGTCAAGCTGTCCTTGAGCTAGCCTGGGCAAGCGGGAGCTGGCCAGAAGGGTTAGTCATTTGGCGTGAGACTCGCAAATCAGTTGCAGGTAGATGCAGGAAGAAGTGCTCTTCAGGGCAGGTCAATGCACCAAACAATGCAAGTGAGCAGAAAAATTGGTTGTATTCACAAGGCTGTCAAGTTTGTAAGCCCGATGGATTGGAGGGGAAAAAATAAAATGAGAAAAATGAGAAAACTCTCTCTCTCTCTCTCTCTCTCTCTCTCTCTCTCTCTCTCTCTCTCTCTCTCTCTCTCTCTCTCTCTCTCTCTCTCTCTCTCTCTCTCTCTCTCTCTCTCTCTCTCTCTCTCTCTCTCTCTCTCTCTCTCTCTCTCTCTCTCTCTCTCTCTCTCTCTCTCTCTCTCTCTCTCTCTCTCTCTCTCTCTCTCTCTCTCTCTCTCTCACATCTTCTTACTTTCCAGCAGTTGTTGCCGTTGTTTGTCCTAACATAGCAACAATGGCAAAATCCCTTTGGAGGCTGAATGACAGCTGAACGCACTGCGAGCACAGCAAATGGTTTTCTGCTTTGGTATCAGCAGCGTCTTGGACTTGAACCAGATTATTATTGTTGCTTACAGAAATAAAAGGAAACTGTGCATTTCAAGGTCACTGACAAAAATATTTCACTGAAGTTTGGTTCGTTGGTTTAGCAGCTTTAAGAGATGGCGAGCAGTTTCGAGTAAGTGTATTCTTGTCCTGTAACAAACAGCGACCAAATGCCAAAAAAAAGAAGAGAAAAAGAAAGCCCTGTGCGAACGCATTTGGGTTTCCTCCGGCTGAAGCATGACTGAGTTCTCAATGCAGCCTTGCCGAGCTGGAGCCTATTTTAAAATGCAGCCTTGCCGAGCTGGAGCCTATTTTAAAATCCCGAGCAGTGGTGCTGCCTGTTGCCTGGAAACCTCCTCCCAGCCTCGGGCACTCTCAGCCTAATCACAGCCATCGGCAGCCTTTATTTATTTCCCATCCAAAATGTCATCCCAGGCTTCTGGTTTGTGTTTTTGTTTGCTTGTTTTTTTGTTTATTATTTAAAATGAAAGACACAAAGCGCAACCGTCAAACTCGGTGACTCTCTGTGGGGACGGCTTGCGTGGCTGTCGCTGCATTGCAGTGGTGGGAACTGGCATTTTAAGCAGGCGGCGGCTCGGGGGGGTGCGGGGGGAGAGGAGCAGTGGGGGCTGAGGGGATGGGGCTGAGAGCCTGAGGAAGCCCCCCCAAGCTCTGCTGATGCATGCAGTGGCTTCCTGAGCCTTGTGACCGTCTCCTCCTTAAGAGGAAAAACAAACCTGAACAACTCTGAGCCCTTTCCCAGCACACGTGTGTCCAAGTTCCCCTTCCCGGTGCGGTTGCACCATCCCATGCCGGATCTGCGGTTCGACGTTGGGCTGCCTGGATCAGCACGGACTCACTTTTCTCCCCATGTGCTGGGAAATTGTCCTGCAATTGGAGTCTGTCCCTGCAGAGGTGTTAGTCTGAGCTTTAGCATCTCTGTGTGGTGACAGATGAGCAGAAGAAAGTTTAACTTGGAGGTTTCTGTGTCTTAGGGGCCCTTTTTAATTCACCTAAACTCTTGGCCACCTTAAAAACTTAATTGGTGCCCTCTCTCCCACAGAAAAACTTTAAATGGTTGCTATTTCCACTTAGCTAGTGAGCGCGATTGATCCTGATGGGATGAAACAGAATCGATTGCAGGAGCCCAGCTACGATTTGGTTGTATTTCTGTCCGGAGGGTCCCTTAGGAGAGCACTGGGCTAAAATCATCTGAAAGTTGGTAACAAATGCTAACCGGGACAACCAGAAGGTTTGTACGTGACACATAGGAGCTGCTTCAGCTGTTCACAAGTTGTTCTTGTGACATAAACGGTTTATTTTACAAAGCTGAGAATATTTGTTCTACCAAAGGCAGAACTAAAGGGGGCTTTGACTCGAGATGCAGTTGAACAAAGGTTCATGTTTTGTTTAGCAATCTTATTACAGGCATAGAGCAATACGCAAGGCTTACCACGTCATTTCTTTTATTTTCCTCTTGAGTTAATTTAAAGTTTCACAGCCCGCTAAGGCTCTTTTCAGGGTATGCTCTTGTGTCACGGTCTTAGTGCTGGGACATTAAGTCCAAATTATCAGGGACGGACAGAAGAACCTCAGCCAGGCATAAGGGCAGACGCTTTTTCCATCCCCATCTTCCACTGTGTGCTGGTGATTAAGAAAAACAGACTCGTTTACCAAAGAAACTGTGAGGGTGAATGAATCATGCTCTGAAATCATGTATCCTTGCTTCTCCACGGAAGGGTAAGAGTGCTTGGGAGGCTGCAGGGGCAGTGGTCTGGTACAGAGAATATGGCTCTGTATAGACTGTGCAGTGAAACCCTGATGACTTGCAACTGCGTTGCTCAGTTGCGTAGAGAAGTGGCAACATCTGTTGAAATATTTGTGCAAATCCAAATTCTACTGTTCTTAACCACTAGAAGCAGAAATGACCCATCTGTCGAATCCTCTCTTCTGGAATTATAGCTGATCTGGGCTGCCTTTCTGTATAACACAGGGCATAGACCGGTTGTCTCCTCGGATGTTTATTGTCTTCGTTCCTAAGCAAAGTTTCCTACAGGTGAACAGCTTCGTCTTCCTCTGGGGGAGGGAGGAGACAGAAGGAAGAACAAAGTGCATATGGGGGAGGCAGGAACAGGAACAGCAGAGAAACAGTGAAAACTGTGTGGTCACAGATGGTAAAGCAAGAGGGTTCCTCACTCTGCCTGTGCAACCAGCACCCCTGGACGCGTGAGCGAATAAAACCACGCTGCTTATGGCAATAGCAAAGGGAAAAAGATCAAGTACTTGGGGGGGGGGAAAATGCAGAGTTTGTCAAGCTGAATTCAGTGCTGAAGGGTTTAAGAAAATAAAATAAAAAAGGATGAGGAGAAATGAGTGCTAAAACACATGGTGGTGGGTTTTCCTTTGCTAATCTCTCCCAGCTGTATGTAGTTGAGCTCATGCTAGTGTTTTCGTTTCTTTGTAGCCTGGTAGCTTAGTTCTCCCAATTCCCCATTAAGATCAGTATTTTTCCCCTCTCTTTTATGTTGGTGGCTGTCAGAGGGTTTGCGCTGTGGCGTGCCAAAACACAAGCTTTTTTGGGCAGCGTTAGGGTTTGTGTCGGTGGCTCTGCAGTGCCCGGGAGGGTGGTTATTTCTTGGGCTTGGTGGTTCCTCTCGTGTCTCTGACTTGCCATCTCAGTGCAGTTCTGCTAATCTGGCTTCTTCTCCCTACCAGAATGAAGAGAAGAGGAACCTTTCCCTGGGGGGCCATGTCGGCTTTGACAGTCTCCCCGATCAGCTGGTCAGCAAGTCTGTCACACAAGGCTTCAGCTTCAACATCCTCTGTGTGGGTGAGCACAGTCCTCTGCAAACAGACGTGGGCTGAGCTGGCGGCGCGGTGAGGTTGGGACCAGGATTTCTTGTGTGTCCTGCTGTGCCATGGGCCTCGGCAGTGACTTTAAGCAAGTCAGAAATGCCTAACTCTTTAAAAATAAAAAAGCATAATAATTTCAATGAACTTGAGCTCTCTGGAGCTTGATGTGCTTCTGAGTTGTGACTTTCACAAGTGGCTGTTGGAGACTCATTGCCCAAAATTAGAGAGAATTTTGGAAAAAGCTTTAATATATCAACTTTCTGCCTTTGGTGAGGAGGGGCAGGGAGGAAACGGGTGTGGGACTGTCCAGCTCTGCATTGAGCTGAGCTACTGGTGCAGGTGCAGAAGCTGCAGAGAGCAGCAGGGAGGTGAAAGTGGCTGAGCCTTGTGGGTCAAACCGGAAGAATTTCCATAATCAGTGAGGTATTGCTCATCTCCTCTGCTGCAATAGCTTTGCAATAGGAAGGATTAAGGGAAGACTGTATCTGGCAAGTTAAATATTTCCCTTTGCAAACTGGGGTGGCTGGCATGAGCAGCTTCTCGGTGAATACAGCGTCCAAGTAGATGCAGTCAGAGGCACCATGTGTTAGCTGAGAGCTGCTGGTGATAACTTGGTCATTTCTGCCTGGGCCCCAAAGCTAGGGATCAGAGGTTTGTATCTGAGCTGTGCCTGGTTGATGCTTTCCCAGGGTGAGTCAAAGGGCTTGAAGCATGACCATCTCTGTGCTAGGAAAGGGAGAGGGAGTGTTCCTGTTTTTATTGATAGTCAAGTAGTTGTCTTGAAGATTGTGAGCAGGTGCGAGAGGCTGACTTTAAAACAACATCATTACCAAAATTAAAAACCAAGAATATATTGATGTGATCTAGCAAGCGATGCTGGCTAGAGTACTAGAAACCAACTCCTTCCAGTGACGAGATGAGCATTATTTTTACTTTGGCTGGTTCTTGTATTGTGTATGAGGTCTGAAATATTGTAACCTGCTAGACCAGCAGAAATACATCCAGGGACAGCAGCTCCCTACCTGGCCCTCAATCTACCCGAAGAGAATGTGGCTCTGTATAGACTGTGCAGTGAAACCCTGATGACTTGCACAAGGTGCTTGTGCCATACCTAAGCCACTTTTGCATATCCAAACCACAAGTAAAAAGCATGGCTGAAATCACAGTTGAACTGCATAGACTTGTTCCTTAGCAGAAGGGTAATTGCAGCAGAGGGCAATATGTTTTCAAGTAGTGTCGTTCTTGGGGACACCAGAATGGATACTCCTGTATTCTCATCTGGCCATGCCATTTGTGACACACTGGAAAAAATTAGTGCATTATTTTTGAGCAAGAGGAAAAAAAAAACCCTGTACCCCTGTTTGCCAGTTCCTGCTCCCAACTGTGCCCACAACTGAACAGGAGGACATGGCTTGCATCAGTACTGAGTTCTCCATATGACTTTCCCTTCAGATTAATCTAGAGCACCAGGCTGTTTTTATTTCCTTGCACAACTCTTAGCCACAGCTGGTAGGAAGCGGTGTGTGCCCCTGCCCTGTTCTGAGCACCATGAGGTATTTATTCTCCAGTGAAAAGCAGAACCTGTGGTGCTCGAAGAAAGAAAAAGCCCAAAGCCCTTGGCAGCAGGCGTGGCACCTCCCTCGAACAGAAACTTGCTCACCCTCCTGCTCTCCCATCGGTGCGTCCGCTGTAGGGCTCCTTGGACGTGGCTGGGTTCAGCAAGATGGGCTGCACTCAGTAGAAGCAGTGGCTGTCTATGCTGAAGGTGTAGCATGACGGACTGCCTGGGAAATGAGTGGGGAGTAGAAGGCTATTTCCTTGGATTTTGCCTCTCTTTGCTCCCTTAGCCAATACGGCTGTGTGTAGTGAATGAGGAGTTTAAATGGGGCCCCTTGTAGGCCAGTCTGGAAAATATCAGAGTCTCATTTAGTTACCAGGAGCAGCAGTTCAAAGCCTTCCTGGCTCACAGACAGCCTGTGAGCCAAGTATTCTCGGATGGAGCTTGGTTTGTGATGCATCCCAGGTGTCCTTCAATGGCTGTTGGAACAAGGGGGCTACAGATGGGAAACTTCTCCTAATCTTGCCTCTACTGGTTCTCCAAGAACTAGCCTCTCCCTACCAAGTTTCTCTGCCATCCCCTCTTGACTCCATGTTCTCTCCCTCTGCGTATCTCAGAGGTTCAAGTTGGCAGAATTTTTTCTACTACTGGAAAGGTGAAGATGCCTCGGAAAGGCCCTGCTTCAGTGCTTCAGCACAGGGCTCTGCAGAGTTCTATAGCAAAAATACACCGTGAATGTGGCCTCTGAAAACATTGTCGTGCTTTGGCCTCTGTGTCACAGATGCTATGTATGGCATTTTGGTATTGGTTTCACTTTGGTTTCCCCTAAACAGCATTCTTGTCTCCCCTTGGCTGATCTGGCATGAAGAATTGTGGAGCAACAGGGTAGCCTTGAAGGAAGCAGAAATACTAAAGGGAAACTCCAGAAATCAAGAGCATTGAGAGACGAAACCAGCTGGGTTGCAAGATCTCTTCAGAGCAGAGCAGCACCTCTTGATCTCTCTGACAGCTGCTGCCTTGCTGAGGTTATTTGGGTGCCTGTGGAAGCTCATGCCTGATGTGACGGAAGAGTTCATTGCTTATTTCTTCCAGTTTGGCCAATTCTGTTTGCTGCACAGGTGGCCCTATCATCTGAAAGCATAGACATACTGTCTGTGACGTGTCTGTGCAGAATGGGACCATCCTGGACAGTTTGCACGTACTGAGCCAGATCTCAGCAGCTCACCGAGTGCCTTGTGTGGAGCTTGTGATGCTTTTCAGAGGGGAGAGTAAAAGAGCCGCAGAGCTGACGCTGGTGTAGCTGCTGTGTGGATGGAGGGGGAAGGGGTTACAGCAGAATGGGCTTTAGTCCTTTGGCAGTTATTAATGGGACATCTGGGGCAACAGGGTTGAGGCCGTGGAAGAGGGACAAGCTGGTTTAAGGCTTCCAGGCAGACCAAAGTTCAGCTGCACACTGAAATCACGAAACCTTCATGCAGCGTCTTTTCTGCTGTGAAAAGAGATTTTCAGTTTGATGGCAAGTTGTCCTAGCAGGTCCAGAGCTGTCTGCCTGCTTCTCTGCACTGAAATAGGCACTCAGATTCCCTCCTCACAGGGGTCTCCACTCTCCTCAGAGACTTTAATGGGGAGAGAAAGTGGTAGAGAAGCCCGTTAAAGTCAGGAATCTCACAGAAGAGAGTGAGAGGAAACCTCATTGTCAGGCTTCCCTGTCACCTCCCCAGCACACCAAACACCATCGCTTCATGCTGATCTGCAGTGTTACCTGGAGCTATCACTGTGTTTGGGACAGCCAACAACTGACCCAAATAGTCCTTGACAGTAGGAGCAGCTGAGTTTTACTCCATCTCAGCTGAAGACTCAAAAGACTCCACTAAAATTGTGCTCTCCCCAGCTTCTCTGGTGCAGGATCCCAAGCAAAGCCAGGCTATGTGGAGGGGAAGGTAGTGTGTTTTGCTGTGCTGTATGATCTTCGCTGGGGAGATGAGACCAAAGTGCTCTGTGTTAGCTTTGCATTAAGCGTGGGAGGCCTTCGAGAATGCAGTTACTTCTGTGACAATTATATGTCCGTCCACAAGCAATTTGTAGTAATCTTTCACAGTATAATTTAGTTCTGCTCTGTAATTAACGTTCTTTGAAGTACCTGTGACAAATTCATGCTGCAGTGAGCTGATGATTTCTCCTTCCCAGGTGAGACCGGCATTGGGAAATCCACGCTGATGAATACCCTCTTCAATACCACGTTTGAGACGGAGGAAGCCAGTCACTATGAGAGCGCGGTTCGCTTGCGGCCACGGACCTACGACCTGCAGGAAAGCAACGTCCACCTGAAGCTAACGATTGTGGATGCGGTTGGATTTGGGGATCAGATAAATAAAGATGAAAGGCAGGTCTCGTGCCATCTGCTTGGCATTTCTGGGCTTGCCTCTGATGCTTAGACATGAGCTGCCTGCAGTCCTGCTTGGAGTGTTGCAGAGGAGATGTCTCTTTTTCTGTTAATAGAGTGGCTCTGGTTCTGGGGACTAAGTGTAGAGGGAGTTGGGTGAGGAGCCAAAAAGAGAGGTCATAGGAGGTCTTTCCAGCAGAGAATGGTGTCCTCCAGGAGTGTGAGCAGTTAACAAGCCGTCCTCAGTGCAGGGTTGGGAAATTATCTGTTCTGGCAGTGATCGGTGTCTCTGGACCTGTCTCATTTAATTACACAGACATCTTGTTCAAGCCCCAGGTAAAGGCTTTCTGGGACTCCAAGGTCTCTCCTTGGTCATGTTGCATTGCTACAGCCAGATGGCTCAGTCCTGAGATCTGGGCAAAGTTTGATCTGTGGAAGTAGTCATCTTTCCATGCTCCATTGCCCTTAGACTTTGCAGTGCAGCCTCAGGAGACTCCAGCAACCTTTGGATTATAAGGTCTGTGTGTAAATGCCACACTTTTCCTGTTGTAAGGCTAAATTGTTTGAGTCTTATAACTACTTTTTAAATGATACCATGGTATGTCTAGGAGAACTCCTTAAGCCTTCAAACTGTTTAATTTTGGGCTCCAGTATCTGGGTTGCTAATGGTATGGTTTTAGTTACAGGCCGATAGTTGAGTACATTGATACGCAGTTTGAAAACTATTTACAAGAAGAGCTGAAAATCCGCCGATCTCTATTCAACTATCATGACACGAGGATTCACGTCTGCCTGTACTTCATCACTCCAACCGGGCACTCGCTCAAGTCCTTGGACCTGGTGACAATGAAGAAACTGGATAGCAAGGTAAGGGGTTGGAGACTGTGGTCCCTCTTTCTGGAAGTGGTGATGCCTCTGTTAATATTGATTGTTATATGGAAGGCTCTGTTCCTTCCAGATAAGTGCTGGACTCCTTCCTGCATGTTAGCTGAGCTGTTTTTAGGACTCTGGTAAAGCTTAGTCTGCCCTGGTGGGTTGCTGAGGTCCTGTGCTTTTTTTTCTCACCGGCTTTCCTGAAAAACGTCAGGTGAAAAACCTGTTTTCCAGCTAGCTGTGTGAAGTCTAGAGTGTCCCATCACTGTAAGAATCTTACCCAGATTAGTTTATGTTTATCAAAGCTATCAGCTGCATCTTTATTAGCTCTTCTTTACACGGGTGCAGGTAAGGATGTGTTCCAGCTCCTGCAGTCGAACTTTGGAAACTGCGGAGCCAACTCTGCTGTCCTGACCTGTCAGCAGGGACAGAGGGGCTGAGAGCAACCAAAACTACGTAGACGTCCTAAGGTGGTGGTCAGTACAGAGGAGACAAGGGCTGAAGAGAAGCATTGGCTGTGCGTGCTGGCGCACAGGGAGTGCATGAGCTGTCACTGCTGGTAGTGCCAGATGATCTGTATAGGAGATCACAATATCTTCTGAAAATTTAAATATGGTGAGAAATTCTCAAGGTCATAGGAAATCCTAAAAGTGGGTTGCGAGAGGGTCTAGCTGGGGGTTGCTTCTTTGTGCGTAAACTGTTACTGCCTTAGGGGGCAGTGGGTTACTTAACTGGTTACTGCTGATATTCCTGCGGCTCGGAGGAGGTTTCTGACACACTTGTTTGTTCCAGCTGCCTTTAGGGAGCTGCAGGAGCCTTCAAAGGTCACTAGTGACAGCAGCACCTCTTCTTTTCTTTGCAAGAATTTCTTATTTTTCAGAGCAGTATTTTAGCAGCAAGGTGGTTCCTTTCAGATGGCAGACGCTGATCAGTCTACAGAGGGGGCAGGCAAGGCAGCTGGGACCCTGCAGTAACTGGGGATCCCCTGGATTACATTGAGGGAATGCTCTCTTCTCTGGCTGTTGTCCACGTGCAGCTCTATCGGACTTCCCTGGCGGGTAGAGTTCCCCCTCGTGGAGTCCCTGCTGTTTGCCCCCACCACCGGGGGCTGTTGGCCTGCTCTTCCTTGGCCCCACTCCAGAGCAGGCGCTGGCTTCCCATTGCAGTGGGCTGTTTGTAACCGTGGTGGCTGATACACTGACTTCATCAGGAATCCGAAAACTTTCCCTTAATAAACTCTTGTCTCTTGGTGTGGTGCCAGCATTACATGTTCCCAGAAGTATGTTTGGAGGAAAGCTTTTGCATGATTCCCCTTGGTGCTGGTGGTCCCACAAAGCTTTTCTCTTCCTTTCCTTCTGCATTCCCTACTTTTCACATCTCCCCGTGGCTGCCTTTGGTCCTTGGGTAGTACCAAAATAAATCCTTTGTACTTGTGCAGAGATGAGAACTTTGTGTGCACGCAAGCCTTTTGTATTTCTAAACTTCCACTTAAATAGTCCTCTTTGAAGTCATTTTATCCCTTTGTTCTCATCTCCCTTCTTACCACAGTGTGAGAACATCTTGGATTTCATGGTGTGGTGGCCTCGCACAAGCAGGCACATGGAAATGAATAAGCAAGTAGAGACCACTGATATTTTCTGGGTGTCAGGGGTTTATGTTGCGTTTCTGCATTGGTGTCATCCCAGGACATCACGGTGCTTTCCAGGCACTCCTTAAAGATTTGTGCCTGACAGCGCTGTGCCCCTTTCCCAGTACACTTGAACCATTTGTGCTTGGGGGCCAGCATGTGGGCAGAGTGAAGTGGGATGTCAGCAAACACCAGGCAGCTTTCTATCTGCTCCAGACTGGTAACAGCGAGTGGTTACCGTGGCTGAGCAGAGAGGTGACGTGCATTGACTCGCGTCTGCAGCCATGTGAGCACACCTGAACCTGGCTTTCCCCTTGGGAAGCTTTACGTGGCTGGTGGCCCCTGTTTTACAGTTGAAGAATGGAGCCCACGGAGACGAAAGGTGTATCGGAGGCCATGCTTTGCTGTGTGCTCTGCTGGCTCAGCCTCTGAGACTAGTTTAAACAAGGGTCTTGTAGGAACCCGGCTCAGTTAACGCCTTTGCTTTAGCACACCAGTGGCATGGCATCAGGTGTTGGGCAGGCTTTTGAATCTGTGTGATGACTTCAATAATGAATCTTGCTTTTAGTGTAAAGTTTACAAAATCCCTTCTGGGTAAAGCTGTTTTGTAAACAAAATCTTCCATTGTACTGTAATACAGTATTTGTTTGGCTGAGCTCGTGGCCAGCTGTTGTCTAGGGTATTTCATTACAGCCAGAGAGCTAGAAGGATCTTCAGAAGTGGTTCTAGGTGGATGAAATGTGGCTGGCTGGTAGGTGGGAAGCACGTATGACCTGGCAGGGGTTGCCTTTCCATTGGGTTTAACCTGGGAAAAGGAGGAGATAAATAAAATTGCATCTGTGTCAGATGAGAAGGTGATTTATTGATTTAAACCACAGCCCTGCCCTGGAAAGGGACGGCACAGCTGTGTGCCGGCACGGGCATCCCGGGGCTCCCTGGTTGTTGTCCCTGGATGGTTTCCAGCCAGCGTGTGCTGTTTACGAGCTGTGGCTAATTGCTTGCCCTCCGTGAGCTGACACATCCTAGGCAGGTCACTGCCCAGTGGGGATGCTTCAGGCCAGTTTCTGCCTCTGCTGTTTGGTTTCCAAGGTAGGATTTGCCTGTTGGCTTCACTGGGACTTGCATTTGGGAACACTTTGGAGATGGGGAAAAAATCCAGCTGTATTTCAGAGGGTGAAAATGCATGTAGCCTTATTATATTAGCAAAATTATTTTCTATCAACTGACTTTTTGGCACGTTGGTTTCCAAGGTAGGATTTGCCTGTTGGCTTCACTGGGACTTGCATTTGGGAACACTTTGGAGATGGGAAAAAATCCAGCTGTATTTCAGAGGGTGAAAATGCATGTAGCCTTATTATATTAGCAAAATTATTTTCTATCAACTGACTTATTTTGGCACGTTTTTGTAAGTTTTATTTTTGGAGATGAGAAATAACTCTGTGGTCAGACTGACTTGAGAAGGAGGTGCATTTTATGCGTGTGCATGCGAGTTCACTGTCTTGTCTGAAGCACAGACTTTCTCTGGCCGTAATTCCAGCTCCAGCAAAGACTTCCAGCACATGGACTGACAGTCAAGGGAACGCTGCACGCCTGTCACATTCAGTGGGATGACACTCCAGTAGTTAACTTCATGATTTTATTACTAGATCTTTAAATAGAGAATATTGCTCTGCCACCATGAGATATAAGAATGTTGCTGTGGGATTTTGCCTGCAACCCAAGGTAAACGTTATTTGTGTAAAAGTAAGAGTGGAGAGAGAAACCTCGAATGGTTCTGGCATCATTTCCTTTTATTGGGTTTTTAAAACCTGTTCAGGAAGGAGAGGAGAGGTGACTTTTCTTCTCTAACTGGTTGTATATCTGTTTGGCACTAATCTCCGTGCCGCATACTGTGGCCTTTGCATAGAAATGGATGTGTGGAAGGTGCTGTAGGAGGGCAGGATTAGACATGCAGTTCGGTTCTGTAGCATCTCGTATCTCGTTTGTTTCTTGTTTCCAAACTTTTCCATCCTTTCTCCTTATTATAAAGGGATGATCTCATTCTAGACTTAGACAGCTTTTGGGTGCCAGTACTCAAAATCAGAGAAAGGAGAACAGGAAGATAATTGTATGGTGCTCCGGGTATCACTTGTTAACCGTGGGATTCCAGCTTGTGGTTTTCCAAGGCATGCATGAAATCAAAATAAAAACAGTAATAATTTAAAAAATTAAGGAACTTGCAAGGGAAGAAGAGAGGAGTGAGATATACCCAAACGCCGTTTCCAGGACTCCACAGTATTGATGTTGGCTGTTGATTACTGGAAATACGACAACTTGTAAAATCCTTTTGGGTTTTGAACTCTGTGACAGCAGGTGCTGACTGAGTTGCCTTTTCAAAGCATGAGGAACCTGGTTGGAGGGGACTTGAACCAACCTCGGTTTACACCTTCTTTGAGTGCTGCTGGGGCAGCAGCTGACCACAGAGCCTGCCTTCTCCTGCTGCTGGGGAAGCCGTGCCAAGCTCCAGGCTCTGCACCCCCTGCCTCGCTGTAAGCAGAGCTGAGCTGGTGCTTTTTGGAAGAAGGGGGGAATTGCTCTGCACCCCCTGCCTCGCTGTAAGCAGGGCTGAGCTGGTGCTTTTTGGAAGAAGAAGGGGGTAATGGCTTAGGCCAACTGAAGGTGGACTAAAATCACCTCTTGTGCTGGTTTGTCAGCGTGCCTGGCTGGCTGGAGAGCATGAAGCCCTGCACACAGCAGCTCCCTGGCAGTGCCTTTCCCCTCGCAGATACTGCTCATGAGCGAGTGGTACATGAGCTGTGAGCTGACCCTTTTTCTGTGTGAGATGGTGGATCCAAGCCTCCTCAGCTCTTAGCAGGTCAGCGAGACACCCGGCTGTGGCCATGGCCCTTTTTACCTTTTGTAATGAGGACATCGACCTGCTGAGGAGTGGAGTGAGACCAGCAGACCTTGTTCTGTGGGGGTTTGTAGTCCTTGGTAAAAGAGGCCGGATCGGTGACTGAGAAAAATAAGGAATTTATCCTCTCAGATAAATTTGCAATGAGTAAATTAAGATGAGTTTCTTTTGGAGTGAGTAAATGCTCTTGTATTTAGTGAGTGCTAAACCAGAGGGGGGAGGAAAAAAACAAGAAGTATGGAAAAAACACTTGAGCTACAAAGAGAACTTGAGCTGGGAAAGCAAGGTCATTTATTTTAATGGGCACCCATTGGAGACCAAATGGCTGTTACGAATTTCTGCTCTGTAGGACAAAAAGTGTTGGCTCCTGGGAAATGTTAGATGGCAAATCAGGCTTTCCCCTCATTTGTCTGAATTCTTCTGTTTTACTGCTATGAATTTGGCTGCTGTTCAGACAGACGAGTTTTGTTGTTGTTTGTTTAAGCAGTGGTTTGCAGTATTGCGCTTGGCTTTTCTGGCCATAGCAGCATTATCTAATAGAGGTCCCTGTGACAGATCCTGCCCTGCTGTAGCTCTCCCAAGCATGAGGCCACAGTGAACCACATCTCTCCTGAAGGATGTGGCCCTCGTTTGCTCTCGATCTTGGTATGTACTGGGCACGGGGGGACCTCCCCACCCTGCAGCTTGCAGGTGGCTTTGAAATCTGGGTTGATGAAGCTGCGTTAGGGTATTGTGCTAGGTGACCGCTGATGCGAAACCAAAGCTGAGCAGCAACAGCATGAAAACAAATCTCCTGTCTGCCGTATGGCACCCTGCACCTTTCCCGGGTGGTCCGTGTAATCTGCGCAGCAATGCCTGAGTTGTGATCCTCAGGGAGAGGCTCAGGGAGTCCTCGGGAAGGATCCACAGCTGCTGTGAAAGCGTCTGAGGAGTCCCTGCTCTTTCTGCTTAAGCATGGGAAGGCTTCACATCAGCTCGCTGCAGCGTTTCATCCTTGCGCTTGTCTTCTAAAACGGCTTGTCAGCACAGCCAGGAGTGGATGGGTGATAACTCGAGATGTGACAGTTACGCTGTCTCTGCCTCCCTCGAAGTGTGTAACAAAATGCATAGGCAAGAGCAGAGGCTTTGATCTTCTCGTGTATTTATTGCAGGGTGTTTGTCTGGTTTATCTGGAAGTCTCGTAGCCAAATTAGTCCTGGAAAACTCTTCCCTCTAGTGTTCAGCTGGGCTTGTGCTGCAACTCGCATGCAAAAAATGTAGCACCTTTGTGGTTTTATAAAATGTAAAGCAGCCACGGGGGTAGGACCCGGGTCACCCCGCGGGCACCCACGCTCCCGACAGAGCTGCTTGCCTGACTGCTGCTCACCTGGTTATTTTTCCTTCCTCCTTTCTGCTGTAGGTGAATATCATTCCAATTATTGCCAAAGCAGACACCATCTCCAAGAGCGAGTTGCACAAGTTCAAGATAAAGATAATGAGCGAGCTGGTCAGCAACGGTGTGCAGATCTATCAGTTCCCCACAGATGACGAAGCAGTTGCTGAGATCAACTCTGTGATGAATGTGAGTAACGCTGCCAATCACATCGCCTCCAGAAGTTGTGACAAATTAAATTGCTGCACAAAAATGCATTTGAAGGGCAAGTTTCATTGGGATTGTCCAGACGCTAAATCTGTTTGAAAGTTGAGCTGTGGATCTGACAGATGCCTAAGGCTATTGCATACAGAATTAATTAAAATGGGGCTCTTATTTAATCTGTGGTCTCTCTGGAGAAACTCAGCTCAGCTCTAAAATTTGTTTTATTGAATTTTTGGAAAATACTTTCTTCAGAATTCATTCTGTCTGCTTTTAGGCTACTTTTCATTTGAGGAGGGAGAAACTTTGAATAAAAATTTTACAGTTAAGATTTACATTAGGCTTCTGACTTAAGCAGGCTAAGCAGAGAAAACCCAATTTATAATAAAGAAGAAAAATTGTCAGACTCTATTTTGTCTTTTTTTGAAGTTCAAAGATCAAATTCATAGAATCATAGAATAGTTTGGGTTGGAAGGGACCTCTAAAGGTCATCTAGTCCAACCCCCCTGCCCTGGGCAGGGACATCTTCAACTAGAGCAGGTTGCTCAGAGCCCCGTCCAACCTGACCTGGAATGTCTCCAGGGATGGGGCATCCACCACCTCTCTGGGCAACCTGGGCCAGTGCTTCACCACCCTCAGCGTAAAACATTTCTTCCTCATATCTAGTCTCAATCTACCCCCCTTTAGTTTAAAGCCATTCCCCCTTGTCCTGTCGCAACAGGAGTTCAGACCTGGCTGAAGCATATGCAAAACACTTTCAAGTTTCCTGTCTCCCAAATCAGAGTGTAGCTATTGCAGTAGAAACAGCTGAAATGTTTCCATGTTAATTTTTTAAATAAAAAGTAGCTTTTATCAAAATGAACACTTCTGCATAGCTGTTTTTGATTAAATGCTTTGTCTTTTCTTGCACACACACCCCTTTTGTTTTTTAAATGTCAATAGCCATTGATTTCTGCGTCAACTAGATATGTGTTTTCACTATAATAATTCTTTTTTTGCTGAATTCATGAAAAATTTGGAGGATGCACTCTTTTTAAAATAATTGCAAGCTGCGTGCATTGGGGAGAAAAATGGCAGTCATGCTTGCTTGGTTTTTCTTGTCTCCTCCCCCCCCAAGAAAACCCAAAATTTTTGGCCGCTTCTCTACCAGTTCCACACTTCCGGATCCATTTCTTCTTAAATGTGAAGGATTTTGTCAACCTCGTCCTACTGAAGTGCCTGCTCCGTGGCTCCTTTCTTGCAATGCTTGAGGACGGTGCCCTGTTTCCTTACTGCGCTTGATGCTTTGCAGACTTGGAGAGGAATGAGCACATGCTGTATCCTGCACATGTCCCTTCCAGTGCCCACACACAAACTGCTGTGCCAAGGCCTGTTTACGGATGTCTTTGCTTGTGCTTTCTGCAAGGCAGGGAGTGCCCTGCTCTTGGCGTGTGGAGGGACTACAGCTGCAAGAACAACCTGACAAATGGATAGAGGGAGATCAGTAATGATCATGGTGTTCCTACAATATTTCCCCATCTAGTTCAGTCCAGCCAGCGTTGCTAGTAAGCTGTGCTATGGCTCTACGCTGCTCTCTGTTGTAATATCCCAGTTCATAGTAGAGACTGCTCTGAGTATTGGAGATTGATAGCTTCAGAGGAAGGACTTTTTGAAGTAGATCCTGTGCCTGGGTGAGGGGGATCTAATGGTCAGGCTGATCTCCGAGGGCTTAGCCCATGCACTTGGCTCTGTTTCAGGCTCATCTGCCCTTCGCTGTGGTCGGCAGCACGGAGGAGGTGAAAGTTGGGAACAAGCTGGTGAGAGCTCGGCAGTACCCGTGGGGAGTGGTGCAAGGTAAGGCGCTGCAAGCCGGGCACCCACCGCAAACCTCCCTTGATGCGTGCATGTGCACACGCTGGCACCCTCTCCAGCTCTGCCCTCCTGCCAGCGTGTGTGCATGAAGGTGCCCTGTGCTAAACGGTGCAGAAATGTCCTGTGCAGCCTTTTGTGGGTTGGCCAGTCTTTCCTTTGAATTCCCATTCCTACCGGCAGGTGGTAATGGTCAACGGGAATCCCTGCATCCAAGAGGCTGTGTTGTGCCCTGTGTGGGACAACAGGTAGAGGTCCTTGGGAGGGGAGCCTCTGGAGTTAATCTGTGTGTGCGTGCGTTTGTGCTCCCCCACCATGTGTGCAGGTTACTGACTTCTCCCTTTGCTTCCGTCAGTTGAGAATGAAAGTCACTGTGACTTTGTGAAACTGCGGGAAATGCTGATTCGAGTCAATATGGAGGATCTTCGGGAGCAGACTCATACCCGCCACTATGAGCTGTACAGGAGGTGCAAACTGGAAGAGATGGGCTTCAAGGATACGGATCCAGACAGCCAGCCCTTCAGGTGAGCAGCCTTCACATCTAGCATCAATTTAGAGCGATACTTTGGTACTGACACCCCCAAAAAATGGGAGGTTTGCAGGTGGTATCCACAATGCTGGGCTGGAAAATACTAGCACTGGGTTTGAACTTTGCATCTGACTTTGGTGGCATTCCCTTCCCTGCCTGTTTGTCTTTAAGCAACACAGACAGGCGTGCGTTTCCCCATCCCTAACTCACTGGTGTCCAAAGAGTCTGGATTTCATTTGCTTTCTTCCCCAGCCTCCAAGAAACATACGAGACCAAAAGGAAAGAGTTCTTGGGTGAGCTCCAGAAGAAAGAGGAAGAAATGAGACAAATGTTTGTTAACAAAGTCAAGGAGACGGAGGCAGAGCTGAAGGAGAAGGAGAGAGAGGTGGGTGTGCCAAAAACCTGTGAGAGGAGCCCAAAATACAGCCAACATAGGATCTGGGTCTGGGCAACATATGAATCCTGGAAAGCACATGCAGCTCTTGAGCAGACCTCACCAGCCAAAGCACAAACACACACACCTTCCCCCACTCAGAGAAGGGGACACGGGGTAATGTTTTCAAAACAGCATCACTGGTTTAGATGCCTCAGAAACAAGAGTCTTCCCCGTCCTGTGCAGTGTGTAGGAGACTTGGCTGCTGCTTGGTGAGTGAAGGGCAATGCAGGACGTTTTGGTGAGTGTCCATGTCAGGTAGACTTCACCCCTGGAGGCTCACTGGACGGCAGAGTAAAGGGGGCAGCTGGGCTGGAGTCCCCCGGGTCAGTGGTGTGAGGCCACGGGCAGCTGCCATGGCTGGGGAGGAAATAAATGGACCACCTTCAAAACTAGCGAGGAACGAAAGAGCCCACAGTGTCCACAGCCCCCTTGCAGGGCTGCAGACTGAGCTGAGATCCTCGGTGCACTTACCCAGGGCTCACGCTTTCTCCCATTTGATATGTGGTGTCAGGCAGAGCTGAATTTCTTGTGTCTTCCCTGCTTTTGGTGAAGAGGCTGTGATTGCCCAGAGGTCAGCTCTGCTGAGGGGCTTGCACGGTGCAGGGGCACCGGCTGCTTTGCCGTGCCAGCTGGTCTGTCTCTGGGGTGGTGGGGATTCGTGCGGGAGGTGTGACTGCGGCTCTGGGGGGAGCACAGCCTGACGATTGTGCTGGATGCGATGCTCAGAGGGTCTGTCTCCTACCAGCTGCATGAGAAATTTGAGCACTTAAAAAGGATACACCAGGAAGAGAAAAGGAAGGTGGAGGAGAAGAGGAGGGAGCTGGAGGAAGAGATGAACGCCTTCAACAGGCGGAAAGTAGCGGTGGAAACCTTGCAGTCCCAATCCTTGCAGGCTACCTCACAGCAGCCGCTGAAGAAGGACAAAGACAAGAAAAAGTAAGTGACTGAACTTGAGTCTTTCTCCTCTGCTGCTGGGAAGCTGGGTGTCTGCTCAGATGCTTTAATGTTTGGTCAATTGCTTAGACAGCAGATGGAAAAAGGGGGTTTTGGAATCCTAATTCCTACCCTTCTGACTCTTTGCCTAAAGCGGAGGAGAGACAGGGTCCATCTGAGCCTGGGCACGGCCCTGAGGAACCTAATTCCTACCCTTCTGACTCTTTGCCTTAAAGCGGAGGAGAGACAGGGTCCACCTGAGCCTGGGCACGGCCCTGGTGGCTGCGGGTGGGAGGGATTCGCAATCTGGGACCATTCTCTAAAGGCTGAGAGTCCCGCGGGGTTTGCCCTTGCCTCTGTGACAACCAGCTCAAGTGATCCTGCGAGCCGTCTGCTCCTGGAGACAGACGGGAAGGTGACTAGGAATAAGCTGCATCTTGTCCCCAGCAGAGAGGAGTGGTGACAATCATGACACAGTTGTAATGCCTTACAGATGAGGTCCCCGTCATGCACTGCCTCACTGTGATCTGTAGGCTTGGGGCCCTCTTTGGAGAGTGCTCTTACTTTATTTTTAGAGGCAGAGCTGTAAAGAAGGAAACAGCAGCTTAAAGTGAAGATGCATTGGAAATTCATTAGGGCTCCGTGTGAAATAGGGCTCCAAGACACAGTTCTGCTTACGAGAAACCTCTTTTCCCCTAAAGGCAGAATTCTTATCTTAGCTTGCTGCAAGTTAATTGACATTGCTGAAGCCAGCAAGAGTGTGAAGCGAGGGCATGTAAATAATGCTCTTTCAGCTGCCTGGTTGTGTAATGATAGAGCAGGAATGGAACAAACAGGTTTAAAAAGAAAAGGTTGGGGGGGGGGGCAGTGATCCTGCTTCCATTCAAGCCAGTCTTCAGGGGAACTCTGGCTAGGGAGTAAAATGAGAAGTACCATCATGCAAGCTGGTAATTCTGTTATTCCAGCACTTTTTGTTACTTCCCCTTGCGTGAAGGAACTTAAGAGTCTGAAACTGCATTCTGTCAAATCCAGAACAGGCTGGTGGCAATGTTTTCTGAGCCTTTTAATGATGAAAAGAAAAAAAGACCATCGAGAGTAGCAACACCCGAGTTTGCTCTTGAGAGCACAACATTTGGCTTCACGTTGCCGATGAGATCTCGTGCTCTGTCATTTCTCTGCTGTGAACTGCAGCACTAGGCTCTGTCATTTCTCTGCTGTGAACTGCAGCGCTAGAGAAGCTCATTCTGCGTAATGACATGCTAGTAATTTGTTTCTTCCTATGGAAGATTACAGTGCTTATTACTTAACATATTTCCTTGGAATGTAAATGTGTTGGTGTTAAAACAAAACCAAAGCACTCTCTTCTTCAGACCTCTCAGCATGCTCTGGGCACGTCCCACCTCACAGAGTCCAAAACGCTTTGTAAAATATTTTGCTGCAAATAGAGTTTAATCCAGCTAAACTCGCACATGAATTGGGGGCTGAATACCGGGGGCAGCCTGGGGCCCTTGAAGAAGGCGAGCACGCTGAGCCGCACGCTGTTAACTTGCACGAGCGATGCCGGTCGCTGGGATGCTCCGGCGGTGATGTACTGTGTGTGCCGGCCAGGCAGAAACGCTGCAGCTTCCCCTCCACTCCGTCTGTCTGCGATAGAAATAGGTTTCCTGCGCTTTAGCTGGTTTTAGCCCACCTGCGGACGTGAGTCCAGACGTCCTTCCTCTTCTGGGTGGCGATTTAGAAACCGGCCGTGGTCAGAAGCAGGGCCAGGAGAAGGCAGCTCAGGCGGCGTACGAAGGACCGAGGGGCACCCACAGTGTGTGCTCTGCGCGGTGGGGACCCCTGTGCGGTGCTGGGGTGGGGGGGCTATCTTTGGCTCTGGAGCATGGCTAGAGGAGGTGCACCGTCACCAGGAATAAAATTAATAAATTAGGGAGAGGAAGTGGGTTTGGATTGGGTTTGGGGTTTTTTAGTTTGGGGGGGGGGGGGGGTTGGTTTGTGGGGGGTGGGGGTG